CAAATGTTGCTGGACGTACAAACACAAGAACAGGTGGCTTCCCTGTTCTATAATTGGGGGCGGTCACACGGACCCTCATTGTTGGGGAAGAAGGCAGTCTTTGCAGCAGGATTAGCAGCATTTAGATGGGAGGGAGAAAGGCTGTGAATTCCGGGGAGAGACTGTGGAGCAGAGTGCAGAGGCGGGAGGGGTCTTTTAACTCCGTCATGGCAGCAGGACAGACTGCCAAGACACAGGCCAACCTGGCCCGCACATTCTTGGGTCCTTGAGTGGCTGCATGACACCCACCATCAAAAGGAGGCCAGCTCTCAGGAATAAGCTTTTGCAAAAGTGCTCTTAGCTCCAGGCCCACCAACCTTGTGTTTCCCACAGTGTCCTCCCATCACCATAGCAACCACATCGCAGGGGGAGCATTTGCAGCCCACAGCACCCACTGCAGCCCTTTGGCACACTGGCCAGTCAATTGCTAAGAGCTAGGCCACACCCCTCGGCCCCCTGCCCTCAGCTTCCTATGAATTTCAGCGTTGGGTCCACTTTTGGAACCCTGCAGCTCATTTATGAACTGGCAGTGTCTGTGCTTTAATTGGCGCCTTTCCTTGGCCTTGAATCCTCTGCTCTGGGAGTATGCCCATCCCCGATACCTGGAACAAATGATTAGCCCCACAAGCCATCTGCTAACAGGAATGTAGAGGGTGGGCGGAGGTCGTGGAGGGACAATGAGACTTGAAGTTGGAAAGGGGTTGGGGCAGACTGTGGAGGTGTGGGGGGCTGCCATGGAAGGGCTTCGCATGGTCAGTGGAAGGTAGGCTGCGATAGGGGAACGCCAAAGGGTTTTGAGCAGACTCGAATATTTTTGGGATAAATGGATGGATTTCAGGTCTCGGTGGCTTGACTCTCTTCAGTGCACAAACATTTATTTAGCACCTGCTGCATGCCAGGTATCCTGCCGAGCTTTGGGGGCTGTCAGACGAGACTGTGCACTGGAGGCCCACGCAGTCCAGGTCCTGGAAGGCCACACCACCTGCTGGGGCAGAGGGCCCGGCCCTGGGCTGAGTTAGTGCAGCATGAAATCAGTGGGCAGGTTCATATCAGGGGAGTTGAGCCCGACAGAGCCTGAGAGGTAGCCACCTCCAGCAAGACATATACCCAAGGCACCCCATGGACTCAGTTAAGACACAGGGCTGGGGTGTCCCGAGTCTGAGCCCCGCTCCTCGTGCTGCAGCTCCGGCCTCAGAGGACATGGAGGAGATGCCAGAGGGAGATTGTCATTGTCAGGACAGCAGCATCTAAGCTGATCCCCAAAGGATGTCTAGTTCATTTGTACCACAACTGGCTCAGAGCACAGTAATTGTCTGATTCTTTTCTGATGTTGTATTTATTTTTTGATGGCCCTACAGAGTTTTATTTATAGGACTTTCAATAGACACCTAAGATTGGTTGTGTAAAATCAAAACTAAAACCAGCTCCTTTTTTTATATCTTGCATTTGGTTGCCATTTCAGTTCAGGTCCAATCTATTTGATATTGAATGATCAGAATGGCCACCCATGGTGAGTGGAGAGTTGGGCTGCAAACTGAATGCCCTGGCTTTGTGTGCAGACTGTCTGGTCCCAGGCCCAGCTCCTGCCTATGTTTCTGAGAACCCAGGAAGGAGAAGGCCAAGGAGAGCCTTCTTTGACTTGGCATCGCAAAGACCACCATGGTGACATTCCACTCAGCCCGATCCTGGATTGCCCGTCATGCTTTTTCACCCAGGTTCCCATGGGAGGTCACTGTCCTTCAAAGGACCACAAGCTAGAAAGAATCCTGGGTCCAGAAGTGACCTAGACATCACCTGGTCCAAACCGCTTCTTTAACAGATTAAAATCAGCAACAACAAGGTGAAGGGTGACACAATTGTGAATTCTGGAAAGATGGGGAAGACGCCCACGTCGCTAGGTTTGAATGAAATGTATCAGAATGTACACACTTTAAGTATTGAGTTGCATTCGGTCAGTGGGCCAGGAAGCAACGAGCACATCTACACCCAGATCTCCGCTTCTAAATACTGTTTTTTGCGAAAGGGAATCAGGGTTGATTCCTGGGCTGTGGCTGGGAAAGTACCAGAGGAGGCTGGAATGTCTCGTTTTGCCAGGAAGTAAGGATGTGCCCCAGACTGACAGGGATACGTCCATCAGAGGAACACAGGAGTCCCTGATGGGACTCTCACTGGCCAAATTGTGTACCATGTGAGCATCAAAAGAAATAGTGATGATAATGAATTACAATACCATGAATAAAAAAAAATGAATCAGTGGGTTCATAGTGATGTTACTTAAAAGGGATGGGAGGGGGAGCCCGTCTAATACAGGAGAATGCCAGGTGACAAATGTAGAAGGAATGGTAGCTTTAGAAAAATCACCCCTTTGCAGCCACCAATGTACTAACTGATTCAGGCCAGGGTCAACAGTGATACTAAAACCACTGGGCGAAATGATGTAGGAACACAAGGTACAAGTGAATATACACTAGTCTGAGAAGATCAACCCAAATTGCATAATCACAAAGAGTGAAACGTACTTGTGCAAAGAAGGGATCTGACAGCCACCACCTGAATCAAGACATCGGACTTGGAATCCCCATTAGTGGAGTACCCTGGCATCCGGTCCCCCCTGCTAGGGTCCGAAGGGAAGGACTCAATGCTGTCTGAGATTTTTGCCAAAAATGCTTACCTTGAATCTAAACGTTAGGAAACAAAATTGAGTCAATTCCGAGTATGGGATAGTCTACAAAGCAACTGGAATGACTTTGAAACTTGCAATGCCAAAGTTGAAAAAGACATGGAAAGGCATGAGAGGACTCTTCCGGATTAAAGAAAAGTAAAGTGACATGACAACCTTAAGTGTAATGTGTGGCTCTTGGTGGAATCTTGGGTACATGCTGAAGTGTTTAGGGAGGAAAATGCTACGATGTCTACAATGTACTTGCCAATGATTCAGCAAGTGCTGAAAAGCCTGTGTGTTTGTATGAGTGAGTAGAGAAAGGAGAAAAAGTAAATGTGGTAACATATTCACAATGAAAGAATCTAGGTGAAGGGTATATGGGTGTACTTTGTGTCCCAGTTCAACTTGTCTGCAGTTTTGAAATTTTTCAAAATAAAAAAATGGTGAGGGAAAATCAGTAATGACAATAAAAACAGGCCCACAGCAACAGTGACTTATCTTTAAAAAAAAAAGAAATCAACCGAGACTAAAACTGAGCCTCTTGACCCAAAATCCAGTTCGCCATCATCCGTCCCTGTTCATCAATGCGAATGGAGAGACAGACAGACAGACAGACAGACAGAGTCCCTTATCCCTTGGTTCAAAGACCTGAGCTTTGAGACGGTGGAAGAGGCGCAGCCTTTCCAATTCTGGCTGCTAGGGAGATAAAGACAAGACACACATCGCCACCTAGCGGCCAGATAGGCAATAGGGATTTCCAATCTGAAATACGGATTTCCAGTTGCTTTGGAGAAACAGGCCAAAAAGCCAGTTTCCTCCCCCCAGAAACCTAATGGAGCCCCAGATTCTTTTTTTTTTTAAGATTTTATTGGTGAATTGGGGAGGGGAACATTGTGTTTTTCCAGGACCCATCAACTCCTAGTCAAGTTGTCGTCCTTCAATCTTAGTTGTGGAGGGCGCAAACTCAGCTCTAGTCGCCCCTTTCGGTCTAGTTGCAGGGGTGCAGCTCACCATCCCATGCAGGAGTCGAACCGGCAACCTTGCTGTTAGGAGCACGTGCTGTCACCAGCTCAGTGGTCAGTGGCAGCTCAGCTCAGGCGCAGCTCACCGGCCCACCTGGGAATCGAACCGGGGACCCTATTGCTCAGAGCTCGCGCCCTTAACCAACTGAGCCACTGGGCCGGCTGCTCCAGATTCTTGGATAATCCAGAAGAAAGAAAAGCCCTACTCAGGTGCATTTACCTCGTCTCTTTTACCACCGCACACCAGCAAACCGCGGGCCTTTCTGACTCCCTCTTGTGGAAATGGACAAAGGCCAGCCAGAGGAGAAAAGCACAGGCAATTTATTCAGAGCAAGGGAGCCAGCCACTGTCACTTGTGCTTTGGAAAAGACTCAAAGACAGGGAGAGGGGTGGGCAAGCGTTAGAGTAGGGAAAGGGAAGGTTCAGGGGCGCCCTGATTGGGGGCTGTTGATGAGGAAGCGGCTAACTAGGGGAGGGCGTCCTGCGCCACTGGTGTCCAGAGGCTCTCTGGTTGATCTAACTCGGAAGTGGGGACACAGACTAAGGAAGCTGTCAGTTACTAACCAAGTCCTGGCCACCTGGGGCCAATTGTTCCAAAAGTTATTGTTAGCTCCCTGGGTTGTTTCTAGAGACGGAGGTCTGCCCTCCTGTTTATAGCCAGCTGGCTCCCTGGTCTGTTTATTGTACATAAGGGGGCTGGTTTCCTGGGCAGGTGGCTACAGGTTGGGGATCAGAGTTCCATTTTTATATATATATATTCAGAGCCCTCTCTGTTTGTACACACTGCTTTTCTGTCTCTCTCTGGAAGCAGCCTGTCCACAAAGTACCCATGTGCGGCCGGCCTGGTGCTGCCCGCAGCCTCAAGTGGCAGGAGCGCTAATCCAGGGAAGATAACCTTGAAGGGAGGTCAGAAGACCCAGGTTTGGGCCTCAGCCTTCTTCTCACTCTGGGGACGCTCTCCAAGCTTGCGAGGCCGCCTCTGGGCGGAGCAGGAGTTACGCCTGCTGCCTGCTGGGCTTCCTGTCGCTCTGTGCTCCGCCCTGTAAGAGGCGACACTAAACCCACGTGCGCCCTCTAGAGGCTGGAGAGTGAGTAGCAGGAGCCGTGCAGAGATCACCTGCCTGATGGGAACAGGCACTTACCTGCTCAGTGCCGCCCGAGACACCTCGGAACTCCAGCTGGCTCCCACTTGAAGAGTCGCTGCTTTAGCCCCAGGCCACGCAGGCCCTGCGCTCACCACCCACAGCACACTCCCTCTTTCTCCACACCCAGGCTCTCCGTGTGAAATGGTCCCACCTCAGGTTGCCCTGGGTGGACCTCGACTGGCTCATAGACATCTCCTGCCAGATCACGGAGCTGGACCTTTCCGCCAACTGCCTCCCTTCCCTCCCTTCTGTCATCCCTTGGGGACTCATCAACCTCCGGAAACTGAACCTGTCGGACAACCACCTGGGGGAACTGCCCGGCGTGCAGTCGTCAGACGAAATCATCTGTTCCAGGTGGGCTGCCACCCCTCGCAGGTCTCCGCAGTGTGCACGGGGCCTCCGCGCCCCCGCCATGCTCCCCTGCACGTGCTCCCTGATCGTAGTCTGTGGTTTTGAAAACAGATTTTCCGCTCCAATGAGAGAAGGGAGTTCTGCCTGCCCAATGCAAGCTCTCTCTCGGGAACAAGGTCCCCACCTGCCTCCCAGGTGAACACAGAGTGGTCTAGAGGGGCAGTTTGTCTGACCACCCTTTACGCAGCTCGCTGGTGGCCTTGGGGACCTGTTTCCCCCTGATGCCCTGTCTTGGTCCTGCACACACGAATCAGAGGAAGAGGCTGGTAGAAGCATGAGGCCCAGAGGCACCAGCTTCCATTCCATCTCCCAAGGAAAGTGAGAAGGGCCTCTGGCAGGAGGAAGCAGGTGTGGGCAGGCAACTCCTGTCCCCTTTTTGGGGGAGGCCTTGGGAAGAGGCCCGAGGCTGCATGGGAAGGCCTCGAGGACATTACCTTCAGTGATGTATGATGATACGTACCTTCAGGGCGTCATTCCCTAAAGGACCTGGGCTGATTTCAAAAGCTACGGCTCTAAGGAGAGTGAGAGAGAAGAATGTTGGAAGGAACTTAGGGTCCTCAGTGACACAGGGGGAAAGAAGGCCGCACACAAAACGCTAAAGAACAGTGTCACTGTAGAGGGGGTCCTTAACCAAGGCCAGACTCAAGGGTCCAAGAGGTTGGCGGCTCTCCCCTGTGATCCGTCTTCCAGCAGCCTTTCAGGCAGCCATTCATGTCGCTATCACATCTATGAGAAAGGCTTTCATCCCATCCCTATTGGGTAACGACCCGGCCCACCAAACTATGAGTTCATGCAATGAGTAAAAATCATATGGCTACAGGTTTCGTGCATACTCTTTAGCCTTGTGCAAGGAGAAAAAGAAAAAACATACTCGCATGTTTACAGAAGTGTGTAACCATAGTGCTTTTCCTCTTCCTTCTGACCCTTCACCTCCTTCTACCCCAACCACAGGCTCCTGGAAATTGACATTTCCAGCAACAAGTTGTCCCATCTCCCGCCTGGATTCTTGCACCTGTCAAAGCTTCAAAAACTGACAGCTTCAAAAAATTACTTAGAAAAATTGTTTGAAGAAGAAAACGGTATGTTTCACCTTCTATAGTTTGACTTGAATTGTCATTTTCTTCTTGACAGGGATATTTTTACCAATTTGTACTTTTCTCCCCACCTCTAGCCACTAACTGGATTGGTTTGCGGAAGTTACAGGAACTCGATATTTCTGACAATAAATTGACAGAACTCCCCGCGATTTTTCTTCATTCTTTCAAGTCGCTCAATTGTCTGAATGTCTCCAGGAATAACCTGAAAATGTTTCCAGATGCCTGGGCCTGCCCTTTGGTTAGT